GCTGAGGGCTTTATGGTTGGTAGTCACTGGGGCTCACGGCCTTTATTCACAGTCTGACTGGACTTTGCTAGTCTTTATGTCATCTTTGTCTCTAGATGATCTTGTGTAGACCTAAGTGTGTCCATGTGGTTTGCATTGCATGGTTTCTGGAAGCAGGCTAGGCTCTCAAAAGGCAGACTCTGAAATAGAGGGTTTCCTGCAGCAGATTCCCTTGGGGTTGGGTGAGAGAGTGAGGGCTGCAGGACTCAGCAGAAAGAGAAGCTGAGCTGCAGGGTGGCTGCAACAGAGGTCTCCATCCCTTGCATGGGTGCTCAGAAGCTGGGGTGACCCATCAGAGTGGACCTCACTAGAGACAAGAGGGTCCTGGCCCTTGTAACCTTTTCCCCTTTGTCCCAAGTCTTGACTAGTCATTGGTTGCAGGCTGCCCTGGGAAGGGAGTGACTTTGAGTGAAGCAGCTCCCTTTGAGGAGGGGCTCATTGGTGAATAAGCAACAGACTACTGGCCCTGCATCTAGTGACATGAGTGTCTCAGTGCTGAGACTGAACAGGCCCTTGGACCATCTGAATCAGAATCCCCTGGAACGATTGTTTTAAATGCACTTTTCTGGGCCCAAAGGTGTTAAACTCATTTCTAGGAGTGAGACCTGGGAATTTTCATTTTCTATGAATTTCCTAGGTGATTTTGATGGTCACTAGAGTTCAAAAGTCATCCTGTTATAAGACTTTTGGCCCAAGTCTACTTCTTAAATGAGTATTTGTCCATTTCCTATAGGATTGATTGGTCCTTCATCTGATTTCAGATCTAAGGATCCTGGTAGGTTGATCTCCTGAATTATTAGAGATGGGAACAGAGATTTCGTTTCTTTTATTTGAATAAAATTCCTTTCATCCTAGACAAGAAATCGTTTTGAAGGCACCAGGTCAGAAGTGGAATCATTGATGAAAAAGATGAAGGAGAATCCCCTTGAGCACAAGACTATCAGTCCCTACACCATGGAAGGTTACCTTTATGTCCAGGAAAAACGTAAGTGCTTTGACTGCCAACAGCTTGGGTAGTCAGACTCTTTTCCCAGAAGGTGGAGGGTATCCACTTGGGTCTAGCTACTGTAAATAGATGTTTGATTGAATAAGAGCTATTTTATGGTTCAGTTTCCAAAGGGAAAGATGATGTCCACAGAGTCTTATCTATCTCCAGGTGATGTATTTTATTTTCTTTGTTACTGAGAATTCCCTTGGGATCCTAGAATTCATAGAGACTCTAGCATTTTTTTCTTCCCAGTGTCACTCTACTGTTGAAGAGCCTATATTCTTAATATACCCTTATAAGGGGCCAGCAGTTGGTGTAATGGCTATATCGCTGGACTCCCATGTAGTCGATCGTGGTTCCAGTCCCGGACATGGTGGCTTAAACTCACGCCTGGTGCAGGTGCATGTGCGTGCATGCCCAAGATCCTGAGAGGAGAATGGAGGAGCAAGGGATTGTGGTGTGGCCATCCCCTCTGGGGGGTGATTTCTTGCTTTCTGTCTCTCTCTGTCTTTCTGGTGAGTGAATGCACCCAGTAGCAAAAAACTCTGAATAAAAAAACAACATATATTTATAGCCTTATATAGCATGCCCTGAACTTAGTGGCTTGGAAAGATCTTTTTGCTAGGTCTCATTGTCTATCAGCAATCATTTCCTTTGGTCTGCTTAATATATGGTGATTCTGTTTTCATCGAGACTTGTGTCAGCAAGGCCCATGCAATCATGACTTAGATCCCTTCCCTCTTCTCAAGTCCTTTCATCTCAGTGCTTGAATTTTAGGAAAAGTAGAAATAAAAACTCACTTCAACAGCCTGGAAGACCCATTGACTTGCTGATGATGTCAAGAAAAGAAATACAGGTGGTACTAACATAGAGTTTTTAGCAGTGATTCACAAATTTATGCCCTGACTCACTCATTTATGCCCTGACTCACAAATTTATGCCCTGAGGCTTTGTGATGGAACTGTGCCATTTAGGGTAGCACTTCTCGACTTAATCTCAGTCCATGCATGCAATGCTAGTAATGAAAGATAGTGGATTTTTTTTCCTTTAGTGGCTAGTTCTTCTCCTAGTCTCCCACCCTGCTGTCTTGGTGTCGCGCCCATTGCACCTCCCATATTTGAGTTCTTTTTTGTCCTCTTCTTTTTATTTTTGACTTCTTTTTTTCCCCCCCAAGAGAGAGACAGCACCCCAGCAGGGTCTCAGTGCTGTGATAACCCCCTAGCCAGCCCCAGATCATGGGCCCACACATGCCTGGTACACGCAGAGAGATCTTCCAGTGCAAAACTGGAACCTTCCCATGCGGGCCAGCACTGCAGAGTGTCACGTGTTACCTCTGTACCTCCATTGGCCCCTACACACTCCTCCGATTAGAGTCGGGTGAAAAATCTCAAATTAGGTTTAAGACCTTCCTTGTATAATAGAATAGCAACACTTAGTTACAATAATTAGTTTAGTGATTACTTAAAACTTTGCTTGGGCTTAATTATTCTCCGGTAATGATGGTAACTGTACTGGTTTGGTGTTTCTGGCTGTGGTGAGGGTTTTATGTCTCTTACACTTACAGGAATGAGCTTGCTGAGGTTCCTAAGAAACAAAAGCTGCCTTAGTTGTGTGTTTCATACATACCCGAATGTAAGGTGATCCCTTCTTTACCAATGAGAAGATTGCCCTCAGAAATGTTTAGGTCATTATCAAAAAATGGGACCAGCAGTTAGCGTAATGGCTATGTCGCTAGACTCCCATGTAGTCGACCGTGGTTCACGTCCTGGACCCGGTGACTTAAAACTCATGCTGGGCGCTTGTGCGTGCGTGCCCAAGATCTCGACAGGAGAATGGAGGAGAAGGGATTTCAGCATGGCCATCCCCCCTGGGGGGTGATTTCTCACTTTCTATCTCTCTGTCTCTCTCTATCTGTCTGGTGAGCACACGTGCCCTATAGCAAAGACCTCTCAAAAAAAAAGAAAAAAAAGAAATTTTTAGGTCAATTTGACAATAGAAATTTTCAGGATTGAAAAAAATATACTTCCATGTCTACATACTATATTGGGTTGTTGAAAAAGTCATGACACATTTTTGCATAGAAAAACTTAGAAATATACCATGACTTTTCTGATGACCTAATAGTTAACATTATCCATTTACATATATAAAATCATTATTGTTTTTCTGCACTCTCATATTGCATTGCTTTATTTATTTATTTATTTATTTATTTTGGGGGGCAAGGTTTTTGCTATAGGGTACATGCACTCGCCCGAAAAACAGAGACAGAGAGACAGGAAGTGAGAAATCACCCCCCAGGGGGCTGGCGACGCCACAGTCCCTTCTCCTCCATTCTCCTCTCAGGATCTTGGCCACACACGCACACATGCTTGGCATGATTTTAAGGTACCAGTTTCGGGACTTGAACAGTGGTTGACTACATGGGAGTCCAGTGACATAGCCATTATGCCAACTGCTGGTCCCTACATTACTTAATTTAATTCAAACACTTCATGCGCTCTTTTGACATTTATGTGTTCATTATCGTTTGCACCAGTTTTTTTTTTTTTTTAATTTGCTATAGGGCACATTTGGTCACCTGAGAGAGGCAGAAAGAGGGAAAGTGAGAAAGCACCCCGAGGGATATGAGCATGCTGTAGTCTCTTCTCCATTCTTCTCTTGGGGTTTTGGGCATGCACGCACACATACCTAGCGCGCTATTTAAGCCGCTGAGTCTGGGACTCAAACCATACAGTCAGTCATGTGGGATACAGCCACCTTAACCACCATGCCACTGGCTGGCCCACCACTTTTTGATTCTTTAACACAATATTTCAGAGCATATCATTGGCTATAGCTTTTTATGGTTTTTAATTTTTTGTAAATTTATATCAGATTTATAGAAAAGTCGTAAGAATGGTATAAAGAATAACTATTAACATACTCTATCCTGTTGAACCAATTATTTTCAAGCTTATTCTTTCAAAAGAGAAAGAAAAAGAGAGAGAGAGAGACCAACAGATGGTATAAAGGTTATATCGCTGAATTTCCACCTAGTCGACTACGGTTCTAGTCCTGGACCCAGTGGGCTAAAACTCATGCTGGGTGCATGTGCATGCGTGCCCAAAATCCTAAGAGAAGAATGGAGGAGAAGGGATTGCAGCGTCACCATTCCCCCTGGAGGGGAATGGCTTCTCACTTTCCGTCTCTCTGTCTCTCTCTGTTGAGCGCATGTGCCCTATAGCAAAAATTTCTCTTAAAAAAATAAATAATAGATAGAAACAGTCATCCTTGACATCTGACATTGCATTCCCCTCCCTCCCCCAACATTTTGGGTTAACCAGAATCAAGTGCCCATGTGCCTGGCATATGCAGCTTGACCAGAGAACCAAACCCAGTCTTCTTTATGGATCCAGCTTTGTTTGAGCAGTACATTACCAATGTGCCACTGAGCTGGCTCCGGCTCCAGATTCATTAATTTTTAACATTTTGCCACAATTACATTATTTTTTCTTTGTATGAATATATATATGTGCATATCACAGATACATGCATACACACATTTTTTTTCTGAATCATTCAAGAACAGGTTGCAAACACTATGCTTTTTTATTTCCATGAGTATTTTCTAAGAATAAGAATATTCTTTTATGTTACCAAGTTCAAGATATTTAACGTTGATATAGTAAATAATATGCAATCTGAACTACAGTTTGTATTTTAATTTTTTTCCAGTTGTCCCTTATAAATAATTTTGTTCTTCTCCAGTACAGACTATCATTCTGCATGTAGTTGTCTTGGCTTTGGTCTCTTTTAATCTGAAACAGTTTCTCAGCCTTTCTTCATCATTCATGACATTGACATTTGAAGAGCATTGTGGTCAGTTCCTTTATAGAATTTTCTTTAGCATGGGTTTGTCTGATATTTCCTTGCTATTAGATTGAAGTTATCTGGTCAAATAGTTTGTAAGTAATTCTTATTCTCCTCTGGAGTCATATCCGGAGGCACCTGATGTCCATCTGCCCCTTGAAGGTGATGTTAATTTTGATCACCCAGTCAGGGTATTGTCTGGTTTCTCTGCTGTATGGTCATTATCATTATTATTTGTAAAATAATTATTTAATTTTATTTATTATCATTATTTTTTAATCTGACCAGAGAGTGATGGAGAGAGAGGAAAAGTGAGAAAGCAAGCTGCCAGGTCAGGGACTTGAACCACAGTTGGCTATGTGGGAGTCCAGAGTCTTAATCACCATGCCACCTGCTGGCCCCTTTATAGTAATTCTTTTTCTTTTTTTGAGAGAGATTTTTGCTATAGGGAACATGCGTTCAGCAGAGAGGCAGAAAGATAGTGGGAGAAGAAGTGAGAAATCACCCCCAAGGGGCGGTGGCCATGCTGCTGCCCCTTCCTCTCCATTCTTCTCTTGGGATTTTGGACACACACACTCACCTGGCATGAGTTTCAAGTTGCCAGGTCCGGGACTCGAACTGTGGTTGAGCATGGGGGTTTCCAGTGCCTTAACCACCATGGTACCTGCTGGCCCCCATTATTTTTATTTTTAACTGATCAGCAATCTAGTGGGTGATACCTTAAAATCATGTAAATATCCTGCTTATCATATTTCACCCTCCCCAGATTTAGCATCCACTGACAGTTCTTGCCCTACTGGTCTTTACTATGCTGGTTGCAAAATGGTGATTTTTCAGCTCCACTGCTTCCTCCTATGTTTAATAGGCACTCTTTACTGTATAGTAAAGAAATAACATCCTTTCTCCTCCTTTCTTCCCTACCTTACTTTCGATCTCTTCATCCACTCACCTCTTAGTCTGTCCAGCTGTTCTTCTACTCATCTCTTAATATCTTTCTTTTTTTTTTAATAGTTATTTTTTATTTAACTTAATTAATTAATTTATTTATTTTTAATTTGACCAGAGAGAGATAGAAGGAGCCAGACAGACAGACAGAAAGCAAGCCACCAGATCTGGGACTTGAACCATGGCCAACCGCGTAGGAGTCCAGTGCCCTTACCCACCATGCCACTTGCCGGCCCCGTCAATTAATATCTTTACATTGGCAGTGTGGACTTAAGGATTCCTATTTTATTCTCTAGTCTGTCATTTATTTCTGCCCTTACTTGATGCTCAAATTGTCCAAGGTGTAGCACTGTGGGAATCTTTGTGTTATGTTCTCAATAGAATTTTTTCCCCAATACGTGAGAATACATTAGGATTGTTGGTATTTTCATTTGTCCTTATGCTCGATGGAAACCCTATTTATTGTTTTCAGTCTGTTTACCTATTTCTTCTGCAAATGACAGAGACAGATAATATTCCCAACAGGGACTTGATGCAGCAATCCCTCCCCATCCCCATCTGCTCTGGCTCATGGGCATGTGTGTGTCTGATGTACTCAGAGAGGTCTCTGGATGCAAATCCAGAACCTGCCTTCCTGCGTCAGCCTTATAGAGCACTGTTTTACCCCGTGCCCTGTCCAGCCTCTTTGCCAACTGCCTTTTTTTTTTCTTTAATGGTTTTTGCCCCAGGGCAAGTGAGGAAGCTGGAGGGAGGGAGGGAGAGGGAGAGGGAGAGGGAGAGGGAGAGGGAGAGAGAGAGAGAGAGAGAGAGAAAGAGAGAAATCATTCTCCAGGGAGGATGGCCAGGTCGCAATCCCTTCTCCTCCATTCTCCTGGGATTTTGGGCATGCATGCACACATATCAGGTTTGATTTCAGCCACCAGATCTGGGACTCGAATCACAGTTGGCCATGTGGGAGTCCAGTATCTTAACCACCATGCCACCTGCTGGCCCTGCTGTTTGCCTTTTAAGTTTACGGAATGACTTCCTACACTTGCAGCTGGTAGTCATATAGTACCACTGATACTCATTAAATGTCCGCTGTTCCCTTTTTATGTTTTATTTTAAAATGTTAACCATTCTGCTCATCTCTATAAGTGTCTAAAACTAATACTGATTGAGGTCCTTGGAGAATGATAACGCTTTCTTCCTATAATAGTACTTTGTTATTCAAAATGAAGTATTTGGTTGGGTCCTTTGTGAAACCAGGGACTTTGTCAGAACTTGACTGGTGTCTCCTATTTCCTGAGGGATGATTTTGAGGGGCAGAGTCCTGAGGTTACATTTGCTCTTACAGTTTGGGACAGACGCCTTAGATCACTTCCATTCTGCAGCTTTGGTGTCTCGGAGGTCTCCTTGTCTATTTTCCAGTCTTCTCGAGTTCTGCTAAAGTAAAAGTGAGGGGTTTGGAAGTAGGTCAGAGCCCCTGATGTCTGTGTGCAGAGTCCCAGAGCAGCTGTGTGGGAAGCATGATGTCATCGTAGCAGATGGGAGTGGTGGCGAGCACTCTGAGGAGCCTTTCTGTGTTCCTTCCTCAGTCGTCTCACTCCTGTCAGGGAAGAGAACGGAAACTTCAAATGGAGATTGATGATGGGAACATGAAGTGATTTCCCCAGGGATCCTCTACTAGCCTTTTATTTTAAGACCCATTGGATGTAGCATTAGTGAGAAACAGCATTCCTTGGTCCCTGGGGGGAGCCCTGGGTTGGTTCCATTTCCAGCCTGTGGGATCAGATTGCTATCGTTTGCAGTTTGGCTGGTGTGGGGAATACATTACCCCTAAGACAGTTTAAGGATAGATGAGTGTTACGGATTGTGGGTTGCGTGTTTCTGTGGTTAATGATGTGTAGCATACAGGGGACATGCATAAATGTTTTATGGACATGTTATCTTGCAGGTCACTTTGGAACTTCTTGGGTGAAGCACTACTGTACATATCAACGGGATTCTAAACAAATCACCATGGTACCATTTGATCAAAAGTCAGGAGCAAAGGGGGTGAGTTTATTTTTAAATTTCATGCTTAATTTATTTAACTAACATATGATAACTATAATGCATTTATAAAGTAACAACTCTAATATTTCACTGTAATTTTCCTAATTTTTACAGCTTCAAGAAGTCTAGTCTGAAGATTAACGAAAACAAGATGATTATTCTTAGCTCTAAGTTATTTTAGGAACTGTAGTTGTTTTCTCACACACACACACACACACACACACACACACACAATATTAAATGTGTTCCATGGTTTTAGCTGCTAAAAATTCTTGAGTGACCTCCTCATCTTGTGGGATTGATTTGTGTCACTGTCATTGGAAACCTGGAGTGCTATCAGATGTTCCAGTTATCTACTGTTATATAACAGGTCACCCCCAAACATTGCAACTTTAAAACAACACCAGTCATTTTTGTATTTCTCAGTTTTTTTTTTTTTTTCTCTTTAGAGATATTTTTGCCATAGGGCATGTGTGCTCTCTGGAGACACAGAGAAAGAGAGAGAGAAAGTGAGAAATCACCCCTAGGGAGGATGGCCATGCCACAATCTCTTCTCTTCTATTCTCCTCTTGGAATTTTGGGCACATACGCACATACGCCTGGTGTGAGTTTCAAGCTGCTGGGTCTGGGACTTGAACTGCAATCAGCCATGTGGGAATCTAGTGCCTTAAACACTACTCCACCTGATGGCCCTGTATTTCTGACAAATTTAACGGAATTCTATGGAAATTCAAGGAGCATTTGGGTAGGGTTTAGCTGGCCAGTGATGGCTGAAGCTGGAACAGTTGACAGTTGGAAGTAGCTCAAGGCTAGCCAGACAGAGCTGTCTCTATCTCCCCTGGTCTTCTCTGTTTATCTTCTTCCCTCCTCTTTCTGTGTATAGTCTCAGAGCCTGTCCCTCTGAGGCTATCTATATGCAGGTCTCTCTATGTGGGCTAGTTTGGATTTCCTCACAGCTTGCTGACCTCAGGGCAGCAGAAAGTTTGAGGAGTGAATGTTCCAGTAACTAGAGCAGACATTGCATCTCCTTTTAATAACCTAGAGTCAGAAATCATGCAGCTTTACTTTTGCCCTCTCAGTTGAAAAGGTCACACATGACCACCGAGTTTATTTGGAGAGGAGGTAGACCCTTCTCTCTAGGGTAGGAGTATCAGAGTCTCATTGTACAGAGGGCATATGGGATGGAATATATCCTGTGACCTCTTTGGAGTAGATAGGCCACATGAAGCTCCCTGGTATCACTGTTTTGGGCAGCCCCTGGAATGCTCCAAATTTCTCCCTTCCACAGAGCTGTTAACTCTCCCTTCCTACCAGTCAGTCTCCTCTGGGTACTCTCATGGCAGTGAAAAGATATTTCTTAAGAAGGTTATTTTTATTTTCTCATTAACTGCTCTTTCTCCTCTCACTCCCTGTGAGAGAAGGGAGGGAAAGGAAAGAGACATTTTTTTTTTAAGGTATTGATTTGTTTCTTTTGTGATCGAGAGAGACAGAGACACACATGCACAGAGACAGAGAGAGAAATCAACCCCTGGGGGGACAGTCATGCCACAGTCCCTTCTCCATTTTCCTCTTGGGATTTTGGACATGTACACACATGTGCTTGGTGTGTTTTTCAACTTTCCTGTTGTAGGACTGGTACAGTGCAGTCAGCCATGCTGCCTTAACCACCAAGCCATCGGCTGACCCACCTGGCTGCTCTTAATACCTTATTTATCCTCATTTAGTATTTCGCATTTCATTTTCATAGTCCTGGGTTTGACTTTTTTTTTTAAATCTGTTGCTTGGTAATTTTTGGTCTTCCTCCATTTGAGTTTAAAGAAACATTTGGTCTCTGTCAACAACTCTGGAAAATTCTCACCAGTTACCACTTTGAATTTTGCCGCCTTTTCATTTTAGAGATAGTGAAAGTTTTTGTAAAACTGTGTGTATGTTTCAACTTTTTGAATCTCTGGACTGCATCCTGGATACGTTCTCTGTTCTGTTCTTAGTTTGAAGAGTTTTCCCGCGGCATCTAACCTGTTGATAAAGTCGTTCTCTGAGCATTCCGTGGACTGCCGCTCAGTGACGTTAGGTGCCGCCATCATTACTGCTAGCGGCTCCATCAGGCCGCACCCCTTCGTCTGTTCCAGTTTGCTTTTCTTCCTGGATTTCCTTTACTTAAGCCATAGCAGAGAAGTTCATCAGCACCTTTATTCCTTCCCTGTAGCAAAGCAATAATAAGGCACTGTGAATGTTTCTTGGCAGGAGTGAGGTTGAAATAAATGATCTCAGGAAAACACATACATTATAATATTGTAACAGAGACATGACAGAGTTAGAAGGAATATTAAAACCCTATGTTGGGCTGGCTCCCTGGCACAGCAGTAATGTGCTGCTCAAGAGAAACCAGACCCTGTATGGTGACCATGTTGCAAATCCTTGGCTAGCTATCCTGAAACACACCAGGCACGTGTGCAAGTACCTGAGAGCCAGAGCACTGGAGAAATGCAAAAATGGAATTGTGGTGTCTGAGGGAGTCTTAATTCTTTTCTCTTAGTCCTTCTAGAAACCACCTCCATTGAACTGTGCTCTGAAATACCCGTTATTTTGGGCCTTTTTGTCTTACACTTTTGTAAACCTTTCATGAAGAACTGTCTTGTATTTTTTCTCTCTCTTTTTTTTTTTTTTTTGCTATAGGGCACATGCACTTGCCAGGAGACAGAGAGAGAGAGAGAGAGAGAGAGACAGACAGACAGACAGACAGACAGGAAGCAAGAAATCACCCCCCACCCCCAGGAGGGATGGCCTTGTCACAATCCCTTCTCTTCCATTCTCCTCTCCAGATCTTAGGCATGCATGCAGATGCACCTGGCATGAATTTGAAGCCTCTGGATCCAGGACTCAAACTGCTGTTGGCCTTGTGGGAGTCCAGTGATATAACTGCTATGCCCTCTGCTGGCCCCTCTCCTGCTTTTTTATTGCACTTGAAAGTGAAGAATAGAGACCAATTATTGTGGAAGTTTGGGACTCCAAACACTTTAGCTAGATGATAGTAAACATCTCACTGGGTTGCTAATAGGTTTATAAGATTCAATATAGATATAAATTATTGGGACAGAACCTGACACATAATGAGTGCTGTATTAGGACCATGACATAATAATAATAATAATAAATTTTCCTAATAATAATTTCTTACATGTATATTTTATATTTTTCCACATTTTTTTATTACCTTATGTTGTCCTGTTAGAACCAATTTCCTCCTTTAAAAATTTGACATTTGGAGAGAGAAAATGATTTCTGAGATCATACAAATAATGACTTATAGGGCCAGTACTTGCACCCTGATTCTGGTGTCTGAATCACCTAAATCTGAAGCCATTATGCTATCCGCGACATCACTGTTTCCGCAGCTTAGGGTGGAGGAAATATAAGGACTTGCTGTTTAGAGGTGCCATATTCTCAGTGTACAGAGGCATCGTGTGATGTCTTTGTATACAGGTTTGTCTAAAGCTCTCCTGAGAGTTGAAGGTAGACTTAACATACTGGGGTGTCAGGAAAGTCTTGACGCATGTTTGTATAGAAAAATACGTCAGGACTTTCCCGACGACCCAATAGATAGTTGTTTTCTTTTCCTAACATGCTTTTCCTCTATCCTTTTTGCCCTTTCACAGTCCATTTCATTTGGATTATTTTTCTTTAAAAGTACCCTCTTTCGTCTTAGCTTTGGGCCTGGAGTTGTGAGTATATTTGCTTCATGCTCTCAGAGACCATACTCCATGCCTGATGAAAGAATTTCCTGCATCCTTTCTCGAGAATAGGCGCTTCTCTGCAGGTCTGGAACGGCCCACGATGGTCACCTACCCTTTCTTGATTGAACCCTCCCATTATTTTCCTGCTGCTCTCAGGATACAGATTAGAATCCTGCATGGTTAGGGAACCAGCAGTTAGCGTAATGGCTATGTCGCTGGACTCCCACGTAGTCGACCGCGGTTTGCGTCCTGGACCCGGTGGCGTAAAACTCACGCCGGGCGTGTGTGCGTGCGTGCGTGCCCAGGATCCCGAGAGGAGAATGGAGGAGAAGGGATTGTGGCATGACCATCCCCCCTGCCTGGGGGGTGATTTCTCGCTTTCTGTCTCTATGTCTCTGTCTGTCTGTCTGGCGAGCGCACATGCCATATAGCGAAAACCTCTCCAAAAAAAAAAAGAACCCTGCATGGTCTGGCCCCTGCCTCCCCACATTTTTCCCCTCTCATTTTGGGTTTCCAGCAGCATCAGCTTCCTGCTGTTCCTCCATGATGTTATCAACACTGACCTCAGGGCCTTTCCACCTGCTGTTCTCCACCCTCACTCCTCCTCTCGCCATTTTCTTTCTTAATGAATCCTTCCAATCCCAGCTCAAGAAAGCCTTTCTAACCTTCCTGACTGGGTCTCCTTCTGTTAATGTAGGTATTTTTAGCACAACTTATCTCTTTTTTGTTCTGTTGGTCATGGTTGTAACTTGTCACTTATTTGTTTGCAATTATTATCTATATCCCCAGTTTTTCAAAACTGGCTGTAGTTGAATAGATCATCTGTATAAATGTTTCCTGGTATAGTCCCGTCGTTCTTGGAACAGAACCTCATCTTCCTCTTTTTTTCTGCTTATATTTAATGGTTCTATTTATCTTTTCCATTTTCTCTCATTTCTCGGGGATAGCTCATGTAAAATTTCAAAGTGAAAGCTAGCTGATCCATAGACATTAAATCTGAAATACAGTTAGATATCAGCAAGGTTGGAATAAGTTTGAGTGTTTATACTTATACCCTTTGCATGCTGGAAAAGAAAACAGCTCTCAATCTGAGAACTTAATCTTTGCTACTCAGTAAAAGACAATAGATGTGAGGCTTGTGAATATAAACTGTCTTTTCCTAGGTTACTGTGTTTTATGTGCCGTGCTGATATTAGTGGGTGACTAACCGTTACCTTCCATAGTCACATTTCCTATTATTTCAACACACTAGGCCAGTTTGCTAATTTCCTTCTAGTTTAGAGACAGGGATTGGCAGAAGCCAGAGAAACAGAACCGCTAACAAATTCCTGAGTGACAGAAAGAGGGCAAATCAGAGGTGCCAGCTTCTGTGTTGCTAGGCAACAAAGTAGTGCTGTGAGGTAAAACAGTTGTGTTCCTACAGTCGAATACTACTTAGCTGGAAAAGGAAATAACCTCTTATTATTTATTTATTTATTTATTTAATTTTTTGTTGAACTGACCTTTATTTTATTACCTCACCTACAAATCGTTCATTAATGCCTTAAGACAAGTTTTCTTTGAATAAACTCATTTTTACTCAGCAAAATTCAAAGGGGAAACATTAGGCCTTTCTGGCGTAGGAAAAGCCTTTCACCAGTCCCTAAGTGATTTTCACAAAATGTAAAATGGACTCTATTCTTGCAGAAGCTTTGGCTTAATTTTACCAAGCAGCAAGATGTGCCACAACAGTTCAGGGAAGGCAGAGGCAAGCTAACAAAAAAGTTACTAATACAACAATACATTGCAGGCTAAAAACAGCGACTGTTTATTTACTGACCAGATTACAAACATAATCATGGTGGACACCTTAGTTCATCCTTCTAGTAAATCTGTTGATCTAATCTTCCCTGTTGCCAGCATCTCCACCTTCTACAAAATGGGTGGTCTTTTTCTTTATTCCACCTTGTGGAGAAGATAATTTGAAGGGCCACAGGAAGTTATTTGCTTCTTTGAAGCATTTTCCAACAGTATAGATTTCATGAATCAGATCTTCCATGCAGAAGATGCCAAATTTAACAAGAGATGGAGCAATCAAAGAGTTACCTGTCAAAGCAATTCACTTATTGATTTTGCCATAACCACCGTTGTAGATCAGTTCATTTACTGACTCATGCAACATATGGTTCCACAATTCTCAGTATATTAATTGAGGCCTTGTTGAGCTTAACAAAGGTGCCGTTGAAGATCTGGTGAAGATGAAGAAGCTGCAATACCTTTCGAACCTTTGGGCTCACACCATTGATACCTCTGATCCTGATGACAAATGCCAATTTGGGTTCTTTAGATACACCGAAGTTGCCAGCTTTTCTTGCCATCCTTGCCATGCAAATCCCAGTTCTGCACATCTGTCTGTATTCCTTACAGTAGTGCTTAGCTTTTTCATAGATAAGCTTCCTCCTTGCCTTTCAAAACATCTTTTGAGCAAACTTCTTTCTCAGGCACTTGATCTTCAGCTCCTCAAAGTCTTTTACTACCACAGCCACATGGATGAATTACAAAACAATGTTGCCAAACAAAAGAAATTGAATGTGGGCCAGCAGGTGGCATGGTGATTTAGGCTCTGGATTCCACCTGAGTGATTCCATGGTTTGAATCACAGACCTGTCAGCTTGAAAAACACTCCAGGCATGTATGCGTGTGTGCTCGAAACCCCAAGAGGAGAATGGAGGAGAAGGGATTGTGGTGTGACCGTCCCTCCTAGGGGGTGATTTCTCACTTTCTCTATCTGTCTGCTGAACGCATGTGTCCTGTGGCCAAAAATATGTATCTTTTTTTAAAAAGAAGGGGCCCAGCAGTTGGCATAATGGCTGTGTTGCTGGACTCCCATGTAGTCGACCGTGGTTTGAGTCCTGGACCCAGTGGCTTAAACTCATGCTGGTGTGTGTGCATGTATGCCCAAGATCCTGAGAGGAGAAGGGATTGCAGCATGGCCATCATGTCAGTGGAGATGACCTAGCCACAGTGCTTTCTCGTTTATTCCCCTCTCTGGATTTTGATTACATACACGTTCAGCATGTTTTTCAAACTGTTGGGTTCAGGACTCAAACCATACAGTCATTCATGTGGGATCCAGGCACTTTAAGCATGAGGCCACCTAGCTGACCCTAAGAGACATTATTTCCATTTTTACTGTGGTCAGTGCTGTGACAGAGAGCCATGTGGTGCTACGCGAACACACCTTGGGGATATGTGACCTAGTTGGGAAGGTTTTCTTGAAAGAGTGATAGCTGATCCAAGATCACAGAAGCTTAGAGTTGGGAAGAGACCATCCCCTTCAACTCCTACCAAACCTACAAATGAAACCTGTGTGAATCAGTGTCTGCCATGGATGAATGCCGTACCCTCATGAGCCACAGCATTAAAGATGTTTGGTTCTGTTACAAATTTTAGCTGCATGAGGGTCTTGCCTGAGGTTTTAAGATCCACCTTCTACTTCACATGGGTTCTGAACACTCCAATTGAGGTGAAATGGTCACTCCCAGTTGTGTGTTACATTTGTCCCAGCGAGGAGCAGAGCCCACATCGTGACCTTATCTTGATCTTGTGTGTTCCCCCTAGGGAGAAGATGAATCAGTCACCCTCAAATCCTGCACGCGGAGGAAAACAGATTCTATCGAGAAGAGGTTTTGCTTTGATGTCGAAGCAGTGGACAGGTGAGTAGCTGTCATATTCTTTCAGAGCAGATACCCAGTGTGGTCATCTTTCAGCCAAAGTTTTTCTGCCTTTCCCCCTCTCTGTCCCTCCTTTCCTTCTCCAGCCCCAGACGTTCATCCAGTTTAGATTCAACTTCAGTCCTTGCTGATACAGATTCTGTCTCTGAGGTTCAGCACCAAACCCCTGGTTTGGTTTTGTTCTACATTGTTGATTGACTGACTGACCGACTGACTGACCAACCGACCGACTGACTGACTAGGAGAAAAAGATTTATTTCATAGGTACATGGAAACCACACAGAAATGAAATGGACACCCCAAAGAGGCAGTCAGACCCACAGGCTTAGATACCATGTTTATTTTTTATTTTTTTAGAATTATTTAATTTTATTTATTCATTCATTTATTTTTAATTGACCATAGAGAGAGAGAGAGAGAGAGAGGGAGAGATAGAGGAAGAAAGTGAGAAAGCAAGCTACCAGGTCCGGGACTTGAACTGTGGTCAGCTATGTGGGCATGTCCAGCGCCTTAACCACCACACCACCTGCTGGTCCCTACCATGTTTATTTTATTTTAATTTAATTTAATTTAATTTTTTTTCACACTTTAACATAGGGCCCAGGAATGTGTGTTATGTCTCCAGGAGGCTGAGTGGCTGTTTAAAGAAAACTGAATATTTAGCACAATAATATCAGCTTTTTGAGACTTTTTTTTTTCTTTTTTACTTTAAACAAATTGATACAATGATGTAAAAGGAAGTGGAGCAGAAGTTTCTTTATTCAAATTTTTTTTTTTTTAAAAGGGCCCAGTTTTTAGTTGCAGTACTTCACCTACCAGTATGTGTGTGCACACACCCAGGAAAGATACCAAGCCACTTGTGAAGTCAGTCTTTGGAGAGAGAGCCATGTGTTGTATTTTTTCAAGATTTATTGAGTCTCTCATTAAGTTGTACCATTTCATGGTGTTAAGCTAGTTTGACAGCATTCCAGTTCTTTGAGACACTTTACTTGGCAACAGGTTAATTCTTTCAATGAAACCCATGTGCTCAGCTTCTTTGCGCTGCCTGTACGAGATCAACAGTGCTAGCTCCAGGATCCTTAAATCACAGCAGGATACTTCTGTAATGCCATTTAATCTCATCCTTTTATTTTAAAAAATCCATACGATTTTGTCAAGCCAGTACTTACAAGCGCCCCAGGGAAGTTCCCTTGTGGCCACGTTTCCCCAGCTCTAGGGGTCCTGAGGCTCAGTACCACTTGGGCCGTGCTCCTCCTTGTGCTGCTGGGTTTAGAATGCCTTCTTGTGACAAGTGTCACTTTGCTCTTCCAGCAGAGTGGCTGCTGAAGGCTGACAGAGCACCCATGGAAGGAGCATCCCCTAGCCCGAATCAAGGTTCATGGAAACTAACTGTATCCCTTAAGCAGTTTAGCACCTTTGGCTTTCAAGCCAGGCAACTGGGTTCCAAATTTTGACTTTGCTTCTTAGTTACTTCATCTCTCAGGACCTTGATTTCCTCATCTGGAAAAAGGAAGATGGTAATAGTATCTAGTTCCTAGGACTGTGGTAACTGTTGTGCGGATTTAAGGAGGCAATGCATGCATGTAAAATCCGTGGCAGAGTGGCGGATACTGAGTGCTCAACAGCTATTAGCTGTTGTCATTTGTTACTAATCGGCTTGACCTGCATGTTCATCAGGCAAATTTAGTTTCTCTTCTACATGCAGAGAAGTAAGTATAATTTGTAAAGAAAGGAAAGTTTCCTCCAGTCTTTTACTGTGTGTGGAGATGTGAGAGGAGATGGAAAAGGAGGTGGATCATATGGAGGAATAGGTTAAGTGGGGGAATTGCAAAGAGCCTGCCTTAAACCCAAACTGGTTATTTTTGGTTTTAAATTCTAAATCTAAATGCTTTCCGTACTTGCAGGCATCCCTCTTCTTTATTCTAAGCATGGAATTTCAAAGAATTCAATCACTGGCAGCATTGGCATCCGTGGGGGAAGTTGAAAAGATGTGTTTGTCTGGAGGCAGAACCAGTTTTGATGCTAGTCAAATGTGCAGTTCCTGGCGTGAGCATCTTGTTTCTGTTTGAAAGGGCTGGAAGAGGGCTTGCCTGGCATTGCTGCTCTGTCAGGCTACAGACAATTTCAGAGACGCTTTCTGAAGCTGAATGACTTTCTAAGTTTCCTTCTTTCGACGTTTCCTGAGAAATTGTAGAAAGTTACGTATTGGGCAGCTATCGATATTAGGTTATTGGGAAAGTCGTGACGTGTTTTTCTCTGCAAAAATGTGTTACCATTCTCCTGAAAACCCAATAAAAGTCAACTGGGGAGCCTCCATCTCATTTCTGTCCTTGTCGACACTTTCTAGCACCTTCCTTTCTTTGTTATGCCCAGATAAGTTTTACACGCCCCAGTTATAAGCCGAACGCAGATGCGTCACATTCAACAAACCACCTGGGCTTGGGAAGGTGATGTCTCCTAAGTTTCTGTCTCTGATTCCTTTGGCATGTCATGGAGGGGTTTGGGTCATAGTTGAGAAGGAGGGTGCTGAATCTTCTCATAATATTCAGGAAGTGAGTAGACAGTTCTAGGAAACCCCTGCTTGTTTATGCATATGAGTTTCAAAGATTAAGTTACAAGCAACCATTATTTTTCTTCTCTCTCCTTTTTCTGACTCTAGTGTCTTTCTATATTTTCCTCCCATACCAAGAAGGAGACCAGGGAGAAAAGGAAAAAGTATTTCAGTGTGTGGGGCAGCAGCATCCCTGATGGACTATACCCAGAGTCGTTTTCCCTGGGAGACTCCCACACTGTCCCTTTTCACCAGTGTCCTTTAGCAAGGAGGTGATTGCCCTGCGTGTCCTCCCACAGATTCCTTTGTTTTATCTGCTGGAGCAGAGAGCAGGGGGTCCAGGTGCAAACTTAGCACCCAGGAAATGTGTAAGTAAAAGAGGGAATGACTGTATTGAACAGAATAAGTGTTCAAAATGCTCCCGGAGAATGTTGAGTAGAGAATATATAAACATTTATCTAGTGGTTGTTCACATTGTATTCTATCAAGATACAAATACACGTTAAAGGGTGATTTAGAAAGCGGGATGTCGTGAGTTTTTAAAGTTGAATAATTTTGTCCTTTGGACTTTACTTTGAAATTTTATTTTCTAACAGAAGCTATAGCCTTTAGGAAGTGATTTTCAGGGACATCGGAGCTGTGTGTTGATTACATCAGCATCTCTTATTACGTGGTGAGACCAACCAGCATTCAGCACTCACCACCGGAGTGCTTGTTAGAGCTGCCGATTCCTGGCCCCTGCCCTAGACAGTTCGACCTTTTGAGAACGAGACCCTGAAATCCACATTTTCAGACTCTTCAGAATTCTCTATTCTTACTGATAGCCAGTGTATTTAAATACCATGCATTTCATAGTATAGTCTCACCAGAGCACCTAACGTTCCCCTGATTTAGAAACTTTGCACCCCACCACAGCAAAACAAAACAAAACAAAAACAAACCCACAAAACTTAGGCTCCTTTACTGAGGAGCTTAACACTTAATATGGAGGAGACAAATATCGCTAAGTAGAAAAGGTGATTTCCAGCCTGGGAGTCAGCTGACTTTACCAGGAAATAAGCAACCACCACCACCACCACCGCAATAAAATCCCACATTTTTAGTTCGAAGGTGTTAACTGGGGGAGGGGTGAAGAAATCACACAGTGCTTTCTGTAAGCAGAACACTCTTCCTCTGCTCCCTGTACTCATCACTGCGTCCCAGGGAGGTAGCTGATGCCCAACCCCAGGCTGCTGCTCCTCGGTTTAGAGACGGCTTACCCAAGGCAGAAGGAGGTTTTGAACTGAGCTTCACAGGAGCTCATTCTCGCGTGTGTGTTGTTTTCTCAAAACTTCAGCATATTTTCGAAGTATTTTCCTATGATGAGCCCAGTGCGGCCGGTGGTTGTATTTCAGAGATGCCACAGCATTCAGCTGGCAGGCTGGGAGGTCTAAGACCTGCTCTTCACACTTGCTTAGTTTGTGTTTGGCATCATAAACTCATGGTGCAAACCTGAAGGCTCCAACTTGCTCTTCTTCACATCTTCTACTTTGTAATCCTCAGAAATTCTCACGTAACAAAATTAAAAAATAGAGACAGAACGTAGCACCAGGCACATGGCACTTAGTAGGTGTCGCATGCTTGCTATTTTCTTTCTTTCTTTTTTTAAATTCTATACATCTCTTCTTCTATCTTTTATTTTTAGGTGACACTCATTTCTTTTTTTCCAGGAAAACTTATCATGAGTAGGAGGAATCAGAGCAGGGGTGCCATTCTTGGGTTGATTGCTGTCACTGTGTCCCAGTGCATTGCTGTCAGTTTGTTAATCCTCAAATCTTGGCAGAAAGGGGTTAATCCCTGACATAGATCCTTACAGCAAGAACTATTGTGACTCTTTGACCCGTGAATGAGCTGGAAATTAAGTGTTAATCTAGGGCTTTGGAATTTTGAGCTATGCTATAGTTCTTCAACTTTGTGCATCAAAGATCCTTTTAAATACGGACTACCTTTTCAGAAGTCAATATTCTAATATGTTCATTTTTGTTACCTTTGATATCTCAAAACTAGGTATATACTCTCTTCTCTGTATCCTACAGCTTTCCTTCTTGGCTTCCGTATTTCAGAGGCCACATTTTGCTAGTGCCTTTCTTTCTTGCCCACACCTTTTTTATTTTTTTGTTTTTGCTAGAGGGTGTTTGCACTCTCCAGAGGAATAGAGAGAAAGCATCCCCTGTGGAGGATGGTCATGCCTCAACTGCTTCTCCACTGTCTCCCCCTCATTTTGGGATAGTGGCATGCATGCTCATCTGCCCAGTGTATTTCTCAAGTCATGGATCCGGGACCCAAACCATATCATCAGCTATGTGGGTCTCAGCTACCTTAAACACCATGCCATGGAGCTGGCCCTCCCCTTTCTTTCAGAGCTAAACTATGGAGGAGCCCTGGCCTAGTA